AGAGAGAGAGAGAGAGAGAGAGAGAGAGAGAGAGAGTGATACAAGACCAGAGGGAGATAGAGAGCAGAGAGAGAGAGAGGGGTAGACGGTTATGAACCTGAATTGATGCTGAGTCTGTGTGAACGGCAGAGACCGCAAGCGACCTGAACACTTTCTTTGTATAATAAAATATATTTTTCTTATCAATCTCTCGTGAGATTCTTGTGTCTCGGCTATCGGTTCCAAGTGTGAATACTCATTTGGATGCTCATTGGATGTGTGCGAGGTTGAGGGTGATTGACTTGTGAATCATTGTAAGATCCAAAATCAAAGCATATTCCTTCCTATTACAGAATGAAATCCCTTGCTCAACAATGAAACAGTTTCACCCCTATAGCAAGCAACATGAAGTACAATAGAAGCATGAAAACTGCTTTCTTGAATGTGTTCACATTTGCTTTCTTCGGGTTACCCCTTCCATTTGTTCTTGCAGCTCCCCCTTTACCGTGCCTCTCACGCACAAGGCTCGCCACGTTTTCGTGTGTGTGTGTGTGTGAGTGTGTCCAAGTGCCTGTGTGAGCGTGCGTGCAGCTGAGTGTGCAGTTTGTGTGTGATGCTAACCATGTGCTGTGTGTGGACTTGTGCGGAGGAGAGCTTAGAGGGGCAAAGTAGACCATCGGCAGCCAAAATCAAGTAGCAGTGGGCAGTACGCAGAAAAGGGCAACAAGGTAGCACCTTTGGGGAGGCTGAAGTTGTGTTCTAGAGGTTCCGGTAGGCTTAGGGGTAGGTACCTGTTCAGTAGGGTATAGGTCTAGGGGAATATCAGACAGCAATTATGTTCCTGCCAAAAGAGGCAAGGGAACTGGTAGGCCAAGAGGCTGGGTAGCTGGAAAGTCGCTATATAGCCTGGCGGCCTATATATCAAGAGAGGCAGCGCTGGACTCAGCCTCTTTCTTCAGTGCAGCAAGCTGTGAGGCTACTTGAGCGCTCATCCAGCCTGGTGTGGTGCTGGGCAGTGGAAGAGGCAGAGCTAGCTCCCACCTTGGCTATGGTGGCAGGATCCAAGGCGTGGGAGGAGGAAGACATGCCTATGGCGGAGATTGACGAGGAAGAAGGAAGGAGGAGGAAGAAGGAGAGTGAAGGAGTAAGCTTACCTTGGCTCTGGTGGACTGCATTTTCATCTCTGTGGTTTGTGGTGCACCGGGAAGGCCCCTGGTTGGGGTTATGGAGTAGGGAAGACTCCTGGGAAGGCTTGGCAATGGAAGTGGCAGGGCTAGGCCTGGATGCTGCTGCCATAGCCGGATGCTCAACCCAGTAGTAGTCGGAGGTGTAGGAGGTCAATTGTGACTTCTTGTGATGCCGGCAGTAACGGAGAAATTCAGACATTGATTCCGTCTCATTCATTCATTGTTAATTTGTTATGGTTACTCACTTAGCGTCCGCGGTGCAGGTGATGCGGGCGGGGGATGAGGGCTATGCCCGCATAAAAAACCATGGCAAAGATCAGTGTTGCAGTATGACTCTCTGCTCTCGCATCACACATTTGGAAAAGACCATCTGGTGGGTCCTGATGATCAGCCACTCGCTTGGAATGCCCCTGGTTCCTTTGGTGTGGCATGGATGAGACGTGGGTTGGCCACTCTTGCGGAGCTCTGGAATTTCCAACAATGGTGGTGGATGGAGTACCACAAACTTCGGCCCCGGCTCTGTGGTCGCCATTCGCAGTTCCAGCATTATCAGCAGGTGATGGCTGTGATCCCTTTGGAGTGGACTCAAGTGATTACTTCGCGTGCACTGGGCAGTTGTCTGGCACCTGGATGAAGCACATGAGCGATCCGGTACCTGACAGGCTTTGACAGCTTGGCCGGCAGGTTTCGGAGGATAAGTGGGACATGGTTTGTTGGAATCTTGTTGATGGCTTCTCCAGACTGGGGTCTCTCCTCACCCTGGTTTCTGGCATTCCTGTGGTTCCTAGTTTGAGTGGCTTGCAACCAGAGTGTGTGGTTGAACAGCAGATCAGAGGTAAGACTTCGTTAAGGCCTTTCGAGCTGGCAACTGTGTTGTATCACCTTTCCTTGGATCCTAGAGACGGGTATTCGGAGGATCCTGATAAGTCAGCTCAGGTCTGTGGCTCGCTTGAGCACACTGTGAGGTTAGCATATGTCTGTTGCTGCCTGTGGTGGATATCACCTGGTTTATTGTTCAAGCCTGGGGAAAATGGGAAACCACTGTACGGCAGGTTCCCCTTCCAAACTGTCAAAATTTCCGGGCATTTTGGGTGCTTGTGCTTCAGTTTTCCATTTTAAAGTATGCTGCTTTCCTTCGGCTTTTGGCTCATCAGTCTATTCCCACGGCCTTGTGGCTTAGTAAGCACTCTGAGCGCAGGCTTCTTTACTGTGTGTGCTGTCAGGGAGATTTCGTGGTGGAGGCCTGCACCACTTGTTCTGGTCCTGCCCATGTTCGCAGACCATTTGGCGCTGGTGGTTGTCCCAGAGCCCGTTACCCGTTCACTTGATGCACCTTTGGAACCATGTCTTTGTCCTCCTGGGGTCGTTAGTTCACCCCTTGAGAGTGGAGCAGCATACTTGTTGGAAACTCTTCGTGCAGTGTTGCTGTGGATTATCTGGACACAGAAGAACAAAGTGGAATGGCAGAATGTTGTGTGTTCTCTGGAGGAAGAACAACTGCCAAATGAGAAGGTCTTGAAAAGACAGATTCTGGTGGATTGGGAAAAGAAAGTTTGATTCTTTTCATCTCTTTACGAGAGAGTTAAATGGTTTACGCAGCATTGGGCCACGATTGGTCAGGATTGATAGAGTCTCGGGCGAGATTACTTTTGGCACTTTCTTGATGGAAAAATGAGTTTTTTCGGTCGCCATAGGCGGAACACTGTGAAATTTGGTACTTTCTTGATGGAAAACTGAGCTTTTGGTACTTTCTTGATGGAAAACTACAGACCGATCAGGCTGCTTACAGTCATCTACAAGATCCTCGCTAAGCTGCCGGCGAACAGACTTAGGGCAAGCGCAAACCGATGTTTCCACATTGATCAAAACTGGCTTCATCCCCGGGCAGTTCATATTGGACAATGCCATGTCTCTGACAGAGGCGGTCAGATACACCAAGGACAGTGACTGAATGCCAACATACTCTTTTCAATTTTGAAAAAGCATATGACCAAGTCAACTAGAACTTCCAGCAGCAATGCATGGAGCGCATGGGGGTCGGTCCTAACTTCCGCCGTTGGGTGTGAGTGCTGTATAATCACGCATACGGACAAGTGCAGGTGAATGGCTTCTTGTCGACCCGTTTCGGATGACTGTCAGGGGGAACCTTGGCTGCTCCGCTCTTCCTCTTCACATTGGAAGCCATTGTGTTCTTCCTCCGTAAAGACCCCTCCATCGAAAGACTCGTGGCTGAGCCAGCCCCGGACGCTCGCCGATTCTCGCTCCTGGTCACATTACTTTTCGCAGACGACCTGACCGGTCTGATCCGGGCTTCCCCCGACTCGTCCTTTGAAACTCTTATGTGCAGGCCAATCGACACAAAACACGGGGTGGTGGCTTGACAACACCGCGGCGCCGACATGGGCCATCACCCCGAAAGGTTTTTCCTGGCAAGACCAATGGCTTCTGCTCCGTTTCCTAGGCATTCTAACTGACGATGGCCCAAACCACATCTATACCTCC